TATAATTTTTCTTGTCATTTTTTAGTTTCTATATCAATAACAGTTTCTGACAAAACGTCGAGTGGACGTTTCGATTCGACATCTTCATTATTTTCATCATTGGTTGACTCTGCGTTTAAACATAACTGGCCACGGCAATGTCAACAAACTTTTGAATATCTTATTTCAATTTTTTTTGCATCCACATTTGCCGCCACAACCTTTTGTACAATTACAAAAAGATTGTGTCCAGTAAATCATCGCGTGCTGGTGGCAATAAAGTTGTTTTTGGCTGAATTATATTTTTTCAACTCCCAACCCCACTGTTTTGGAACAATGTCTCTTTCTAGCCAGGTTTGTTTTTGATAATACTCGTATACTACTCCGAAAACTGCCAATTTCACAGAAAAATGCAAGAGGCGTTTTTTTGAACAATTTTTAAAATGACCTCTATTGACCTCCGAAAAACTTATTTTCTTCACCTTTTGACCTTTATAACTTCTTTAGCCGGCACGATATCAATGTCGATATGTTACATCTTCATTACAACGCCGTGATAAAGGTGTATACAAAAATTCAGCTCACTAGGAATTTTTCCGCAGATTGGGTTTTAAAATGCCAAAATGGCAAAGACTATACAGCAGATATTAAGTTTTTAAATGCATAATGCACGTTGTGAAGAAAAAATGACCTACACAAAGGTTATATTCCAAAACCCTCCCTACAAAACATTGTTTTCGGACTAAATGTGATAACTGATAACAGTATTTTGGTTATGTTTTACGCTTTTCTGTAGAGCAATAACAATTCAATAAATCATACTGTCTGGGACCAAAAGCTGTAAGTAGAATCCTGTCAAAGTAATGAGGATTATTAATTTGATAACATGATAACTAATACAAATATTTTTCATTGATTCAATGGAGAAAATATTTCCGTAGAGAAAATATTATCGTTTCATTTTCTATTTTGAGATACAAAATGATCCTTTAACAAAAGGGCTGTTTTTCTTTATCGCTACTATGGTGCCAAAAAGACTTAACCTTAACCATTTAACCTTATAACGTTATTTATTTTCTAGAAGTTCTGTATAATTTGTAGAGAAATGAAGAACAATAAATATTTAGGCTAATACTTTCCATATTTGTTTTCAGCAATTGTCTGTACGGTTAACAATTTTAATTCAATTTCATGATGATGATTAGTGATAATAGTGGTTAATTCAGAGGTAAACAATTCTTTGCATATTCATTAAAGATAATGGAATTTAAATGGCTCAAATTGTTTATATGTATTCTATAACCAATCTAGTTATGTTTTCAATATAGCCGTCTTTTAGTTAGTAAGGTAAATCAATAAATTCTAAACAATTAATTAATTTTATGAAAGTTACTTGGTGCTCAGATGTATAGAAGGCAATGTTTTATGTTTTTGTACATACATCTATTGAATCTTTGAATCTTCAAAACTGTTATAGCTATGAGGAACACGAATGAAACAAAAAAAAAAGAATCAAGTCTCTTTTGGAGTATTTTACATTATTGTTAGGTCTTTATAAGAATTACATACTTTCAAGACTTTTACATCAACTCATCAATCTCTTCTCAAATGAAATTGACATATTCAAGTAATTTTTCAAGATGTGAAATATTCCAGAAGTGACTCGTTTCGTTTTCCGGGCCACCTTCAGTAACTGGTTGTGATTGAGACAACTCCGTGTGATTTTTATTTTATTGAACAATTCTGGAAAGCCTTGAAAAGGCTTTGATAGATACATTTACATAAAGGAGTATTGTAGTTCGTATCATTTTATAACGTTATCATGTATCAGAGCGATTCTGCATCCTTGAAGGACATTTTTGAAGAAACTAGTCCATAACTTAACAGGGAAATAACTAGCAAAGAAAACCTGAAAATGACTACACTGGCATTAGAGACTCAAAATAAAACATTTACCATTTGAAAAGCAATTTGTACAGAATGTTGTTACATAGAGTAGTTGTAAAAATGACACCAATAAATAATTATAAAGGCACGAAAGTAAATTTGAATATATCTGAATTTTTGAGAATGCACTAGCTTACCAACTATCAAAGTAGGTATCCTATCCACTGTCCATATACAGAGCATACGAAAAGTATGCACTTTTCGTTGGACTTTTCCTTTTTTTGTAACTTAACGCAAAAATGCTCGGACAGGTCAATTTTACTTTTGAGGGGGCACATTTTAGATGTATTTTTCTACCTGTGCCTTCAACCCCCTAGCGAGGGTGAGTAATAACCCTAAAATTTTAAATGGAAAGTGGGGTGGAGTGATATATCATTTGAAAGGGCACAAAATTCTCTTTCCAATGATACCTAATTTGTTATATTTAACTCAAACATGTAGGTATTATGAAGAAAAACAACTACAACCCAGTACTTTGAAATATGTAATTGACTTAGTAAAATCGTACTTCAGCAAGTGCTGAAAATGTGACCCATTTGCTTCCATACAATAATACAGAATTTGTTCAAATCTAATCTTAACATTCTGTAGCATATCAGGTGTTATACTTCTGCACTCTGCTGTAATTCTTTGGCGAAGATATTCTATGGACTCGGGCTGCGTAGCAAAACATTTATTTCTCAAGTGTCCCCAAAGGAAAAAGTCTAAAGGCGATAAATTAGGTGACCTGGCAGGCCATTCGATGGGGCCTCTCCTTCCAATCTAGCGTCCAGGAAACCGGTCATCTAAAAACTCTCTTACCGGAGCAACATAGTGAGGAGGTGCTCCATCTTGCTGGAAATGAAGCCGATCATCATTATGATTTTGGTCATTTTCAATTATTTCTGTTATGAGAGGATCAATTGTATATTCAAGCATGTTCAGGTAGACCTCACCAGTTAAATTCCCAGGAATACAAAGTGGCCCTACGATATGACTACCTAATATGCCACACCAGACATTGATTTTTTGAGGGTACTGAGTATGGATCTCTCGGAATAAGTGTGGGTTACTGTCATCCCAGTAACGGCAATTATGCCTATCCACAGCTCCATTAAAAAAAATGTACTCTCATGGGAAAAGCACGTGTTGAATGATAGGTGCGGATCATCAATTAGTAGCTGACTCAGTTGTTCACAAAATTGCAGCCTTCTATCAGGATCATCTTCATTGAGTTCCTGTACTAATTTAATTTTGTACGGTCGAAATTTATAGGCTTTTAATATCCGTATTATGGACGAACGGGAGACACCTGAGGCTGCAGCAAGCTGACGTGTACTTTGAGTATGATCCAATTCAACATGTCCCAAAACAGCGACTTCCACTGCTTCATTTCTGATAGGTTTCCGTGGCTGGTGTTTCACATTACAGACAGATCCGGTATCGACAAATTTTTGGACTAACTTGGCAACGTACGAATCATTCACATTTTTCCCGGGATGACTGTTATTAAAGAGGCGAGCAGTAAGTCTAGCACAACTATTATGTTGATAATAAAGTTTAACAATTTCAACTCGATCAGGAATGGAATGAACCATTTTTACAGTGACGTTGAAATAATTTCAAAAGCAACCGAACTGAATCAATGAACGTTTGCCTAAATTCTTTTTGTACACTTATCTGCTGTTGTTATTTGAACCAAAAAACGCACTAGAGAAATTGAGGAATGTAGTAGTGATAAAAATGCCGTTTTTTCCGCATTTTCATCAACACCAAAAATATCGAGTAAATGTTCTTGCTTTTTTTATAATTATTCAAGTAAATACAACAAATTAGGTATCATTGGAAAGAGAATGTTGTGTCCTTTCAAATGATATATCACTCGACCCCACTTTCCATTTAAAATTTTAGGGTTGTTACTCACCCTCGCTAGGGGGTTGAAGGCACAGGTAGAAAAATACATCTAAAATGTGTCCCCCTTAAAAGCAAAATTGACCTGTCCGAGCATTTTTGCGTTAAGTTACAAAAAAAGGAGAAAAGCAAGGTGCATACTTTTCGTTGGACCACTCGATATGCAACATTGCAACAACCTCGTAGAAGAGATCAAATTTCGCGAACCTTATGCAAGTTTTTCTACAGATTTCTTTTCAGCAAATTATGAAGAACTAAGTCCAAACTGTTTTCATTGTTTCATTAATTTCTACGTCACCTTTGCTTAGGTTCTTCTCAACCCCATTCATTAGACGTAGCCTTTTCCGTCTTTCGTCTTCGTATTATATTATCAAATTTCCATTGATCTGGTTGTTAACATTCAGTTGGAAGTTGAAATCGCTCAAATAAAAACATCGAATTCTTCGATGCGAAATCGTACAAATGTTTAGTCATGTAGAAATCAATCTTGATACGTTTTAAATTTGTAGTTTCGCTCTTTGATTCGATAATTTCAACTTTAATTACTAAGCTTTCATCGAAAAGTGATAAACAAATACGTTCTTCAGACAAATATCAGAGACGACTGCAAATTTTTTTTGACGCTGGTTCTGAAATTTTCTTAAGGATTGTTTTATATTACAATGAAATTTGAAAAAAATTCTAAATCCTATCACGAAGCCTTACATACAATAATGTTATAAATTTACAGATATGACGGAGTCATATCTCATGACACTTTTTCGAGTAAAACTAGAAGAATTTTGAAAATTAAAATATGTGCGAAAATTTGAATTTCAGTTCATTGATATTATGATTTCATAGTAACTATAGATTTAAATTTATCTATATTCACTAAGTAGAAAATGTCGTTTCTAAAAATGTAAGACAAAAAAATTTCAATTCTACACCTTCCAACTCTACAGTACAAAACTGTTGACCGGAGAATGTTTGTACAAAAAAAATGTAGCAAATTTAATTTCACACATTTTATACTGTTTTTTTGGGTTTATAACCTTCCACAATCTGAATAAATAAAAGATAAATCAATAGAGATTTGAAAATGAAGCACCCCGCCGTTGCTAATTAGTTGTTTCACATTCAATATTTTGTAAACTGTTGCGTTTTTGAAACTCTTTTGAGTCATTTTTTGACAATTATTTTACCTTACTAAATACATCAGCAACTTTTTAGGTGGCACAAAATTCCCAGTGGCTTCGTCAAAAAATCCAAATTTCGGCGGAACATTCCTTCTCACAACTCTTCTCGTCATTTTCGAAGAGGAATTTAAATTAATTTTGGACAAACTTTCCGCCAAAGCAAACTTTTCTCGAAAATTTTTCAAGTCTATCTCACTCTCGTCATCCGCGAGGATATTTTCCATTGCTAAACAATTTCGATCACTTTTAAAAACTAATAGTTTTTTTGACGTTTGATTTCTCGCGTGGAATATTTTCCGGCGCTTATTTTAGGAACGTTTCAAATGCAACCTGCAGCTCTACCAAGTTGAACTGAAGACGGAGAACTTATCACGAGTATTTACTATAAACCGATTACACCCATGCTACCTTCGTCAGGTCTGGATTCAGTAAATAACGTTTAATCTAATTATTATCCATTATGTTTTTGTTCAATAGATTAAGGCAATTTTAGTTTTTCAAGGTACACCAGCTCAAATAAAAATCAACTGTGTTATTACATACGTCAGACTAGTAATTGATTTTATAGTCCGTTCACAAGTTGAAAAACTTGGTATTTTTTGCTAGTGGGGATTAAAATACGAGGACTAATTGGATTTCCAGGATTATGTGCGGAAGCGGCATATAAACAATTATGAAAATTGTAAATAATCAAAGATTAAAGGAATGTTTACATTGTTCTAAATTACCCAAAAATGATTGATGATGGAGAATTAAAAAAATATTCTTGTAGCTGAAGAAACCTCTGAAAATATGGTTGTTTCAAGAGTTTCGTTCGTTTTATTGTCATGTGTTTTTGTAGCTCCATATCTCAATAAATATTAATTCTACTGTCTCGTGGTATATACTGATAGATAGATAATTTTGTACTCTATACATTGATGCTATTCATTTTTTTTCAAAATTATGATTGTTTGCCTCAAACTGAACCGAAGCGCTGCTGAAACAACCCGAAAAACTAACCAGGCATTTGACAACGATTTTACAGTAGTGCAAAAAGTAATTTGTCCAAGGCTTTACTATTATTCGCCCGTATACCGAGTGATTCTCTAGGGTGGCTCACCGCTATAACTTTTTTATTGTTGGAGATAGAAAAACCAAATTTGAGGATTGTGTATCTATTATAGTTCAATTTACTTTTTTTGGCATATTCACTTGCTTTGCCGTACTTCCGGTTTGACCGGAAATGACCACAACTTTCGATTAAATGGGACATCCTATATATTTTTACTTATTTCGATCGAGAATGACATTCTAATACTTCACTTGTCAATATTTGACAAATAAAATCATTTTTATTCCAATTTTTATTTTCTGATCTACAATGTAATTATTCAGAAAAATAGAGAAAATAAAGTGAAAGTGTGTGGCATCAAATTATTCGTAAGAAAATGATCTTTCACAAAAAGCCGAGGAGCCACCCTCTTTCAATTTGAAAAAATCAAGTTCACTGGAAAAATTTATATTTGTGACTGTGAAATAACTCTTAAAACGACTGTGGAGTCATACGCCCCAAAGTCGTAGTTTTACCATAATACTTGATCAAGAATGAGGCGATGTTATTTATTAAATATTGACAAGTGAAGTATTGTTGGATTTAGAATGTCATTCTCGATCGAAATAAGTAAAAATATATAGGATGTCCTATTAAAAAATCGAAAGTTGGGGTCATTTCCGGTCAAACCGGAAGTACGGCAAAGCAAGTAAATATTAAAAAAAAAATTAAATTGAACTATAACACACAACCCCCAAATTTCGTTTTTCTATTTCCAATAATAAAAAAGTTATAGGGGTGAGCCACCTTAGAGTATCACCTGGTATAATGGAATTTGAGCAATGCAAATGCATTGCCTACAAATCGAATATAAACAGTCCTGATATTATTAAGCCATACATTGGCTGGATTGGGGTTCATATAAGAGCCCCAAAATCATTATTTTTTTTCAGCTTTCAATTCGTAATCACAGCAGCAAGACTAGTTATATACTATGGTTTTCATCAAGTTACCTATGTACAGCTTTAAACAGCTACCACAAAGTTATCAGTTTAGAGTTTCAATATTTTGTTGCTGAAAATGTCGATGTAATTGAAACAGCAAATAAAACTCCAGAAGATTCATCAACCGATGAATTTAAAAAAGTATGTAAAACTTGATGTACGGTTCATAAACTGGTGTGAAACACAGTTTATTCAGAACATTACTAATATTACAGAGATACTCTAGCCAGCGACATTATGGTCGGAATTGAACAGTGAAATTCCTCGTATCCTGAAGCTGGGAAACCAATATCACAATAACTTAGATCTGTTTAATATATCACTCCAAGACTTTAAAAATCAACTGAAAAGGCTATTGCGTTTTCGAAGCTTTTCTTTACCTCACCATTTTCTTTGTAAGTACTTACCAGATTTGTTACATTTTATTCTTGTAAGTACCAAAATTGTTTCATCTTTTAGTAATGTAGTCACTAGACATAAGGATTTATTATTATTTTGTATTCCATACTTCGATAAATGTTTTGTAAAATTGTAAATTGTAATGTAGACTTCAGGCATGAGCATTCAAAAATACTTTGTAGTTCCTCACACTTTGTTTAATATGTTTTTGTAAATTGGCTTTGTCGTTGAATAAAGTAAATAAATATTCTCCGTTGAGGAATACATTTTCAATCAACAAGTTAATTCTGTTTTTTTAGGACAAAACACAAGCACTACAGGAAAATCCTTAAGGCGCTCTCAGAGCGGTGTCTGTGCGGAAGTAGCGATTCACATTGGATTTGAATCGCTGGAGATTATATTCATTTGGAGAAACGTTCTCAGAAACTTATTCAACATAAACGCAGTTCTCCGGATGAAAGAGTTCTTGAACAGTGAAGTTCGACGTGTACTGATTTGAACCGTTCTTGGTGGAATCAAATGTGCCAAGTCACTTGAACACCTCCCGCGAAAGTATCTATGGAAGAGAGACAAATCTCCAACCTTTCTTCGATGTTCCAGGCTATCAAGGTTGCACGTGATATTCGCGCCTCCAATCAGGTGGATGGCTCTTTTCTGGATGGAATCCAGCAACTTCAGGGTATTTTGGGGGCAGAGCTCCATACACGAGAACAGCACTCCAAAGAAGGTCTGATCTGAGCTTTATAAAGCATCAAAAGCTGCTGAGATGTGTATAGTTTTTTAGTTCGCTTTTGAGAAGCAGCCTTTGCCCTTCCAGCGACATGATTGTGCCAAGACATATTGGTGTCCATTTTAATCCCCAACAAATTTATCGAAGCAGAAGTCATGACATTATTATATCCGGTTCGGAGACATTTATCTGCCGATGCCTGGGTTTTTGTGGAATTGAATTGAACCTGGTTATTTTCACCCCAAATCGAAATCACTTCTAGATCCTCATTAAGATATGCAACCTCCTGCTGCCGGTGAAGATGTCCCTCCGTAGCAGATATCCTGGAATCCAAATGGAATGACGAGACAAGTGTGCTGTCGTCAGCAAAGCAATATATTGGATTTCTTTTTTTTCAATAAGTTGATATACAATAAAAAGAGGGTTGGAGACAATATGGATCCTTGAGGAATACCAGCGTTGATGGTAAAAGTATTCGAGAGATATCCATCGACGGCCACCTGCAGGGAACGTTTTTTCAGGAAGCTGAAGAGCCATATACAGAAATGATCCGACAAGCCATAACAATGAAGTTTGGGCAGCAAACCCTTTGGATCAATTTTTTCAAGTAATTTATGATATTTGATTCGATTTTTATTTTACCCAAAAAAAATTCACATTAACTCAGCTGCCATTGGATTGGATTAGATTGAAGTATATATTAAGGCGATTGAAGCAAAGAGTTTTTTAAAGTAATTTCTGTAATGGGTATGCCCCTATCAATTACGGTAATCACAATAATTCTTTTTATCTTCCCATGATGAGTGAATTTTATTATAGATTGGAATTACACAATGCCTCACTGTTCTAATCGATGTCTATTCGTCGATTTGTCTAGTGGTAATTGTTATTTGTTTGTATTGAAATAGTCGGATGTTAACATTCATTTAATAATCATACTTCACGGAAGTAGTGATTATAAGTGACCTTATATTTGAATGGTTACTAATTGATGTAGAAAGAATTCAAACTTGAACTCCTTATTCCTTTCTTTTCCTAGTGGACGTCACGGTTTGTTAAACAGGTGGTATTTTTGTTATAACGCAGTGTTCGTCCTAAATTATTCCGAAAACTAGTAAAAAATAGTAACAGTTGACTCCGAATTTGCCGTTAAGAAGCGTTGTGGTAATTGATAATGCACAACCAAAAAGCCGATATGCAATCATTGTTATCAGAAAGGAACATTCCATTTGGAAAAATCAAGCTGGAACCTGAATTATATGTCCTCATTGACAACTATGAGCCAAAATTCAAGCGGTATGAAATAGATCAGCTCTTTCTAGCAGCAAATCACATTGTACTATTATCGCCATATTTCCCGGATCTGAATCCAATTAAGTTGGTTTGGGCAGGACTGAAAGATTACGTGACAAATAAAAATGTGAATTACATTAGTTCGGACTTCCATTGTCT